GAGTCCACAAATGTTGAGTCCTGTTTAAATAAATTAAAACATAATTAGTCGGTTTTGTAACTATAAGTATAATTAATGGTATGAACAAGTAACCTTACATCATTTTAGGAAATATAAGTCTTGAATGTTGGGTTTCTCACAAAAAATCAGGATAAGTTCTCTCAAAGCGACCCAAGCTAACGTCTGCCTAAGATAAATAATTTGATGGTTTCGAAAATTACACATTATGTATTAAGTTATGTATTAGAGTGTAATGGCACTCCTACACCATTATCTCAGTGTGAATTTAGAGAGATTTGGCTTGTCTTTAAACCACATCTGCCTCTTGAATTGTTTTACTTCTCATTGGTTTCGAGATAGATTTGGGCTGTTGGTATGCCCCAGGGGAGGTCGAGGCTGCAATCCAGTCCGAAGGAGAAAGCCTTTTGTGAGGCAAGGATTAGCGAACTTCAATGAAATGATACTGTCTCTATTAATTTCATAGTGGTAAATTTCAATATTAATCCTACTTAAATGCTCTAGTCTGGTTAGAGTTCCTTTACAAAAACTGAGCTGGTCTCTTCCTGAAAACTGCCTACTTTTTTTAAGGTAAAAGCCGCTGTTTTTCAGCAAGTTTTGTGACTGCCTATTCAAATAGCAACATGATAGCTAGGCAGTTCTAAATTTTGTAGTGTATTCTAACCCTAATTTGCAAACATTTAAAATATGCATGGGCCCCAAAGCCGCTATTGAAGCTTTTCTTTTGTCTGTGCTTAAGAGTTGATTTAAAACACGACGATAAGACTATTGTCACAATGTTGATGGAGAAATATTGACCCTGTAACATTTAAATTGTATCATTGTCATGTGTTGGTGACCCATTACATGTTCTCTTCTTTTGCCTATCTCCTTCCTGACCTTAGGGAAACAAGGGTGCAGTCGGCCTCCGGCTAACTATCTTTAATTCATCTATTTGTTTTGTGAATTGCCATCTCGCTGCCGGAGAGACCAGCCTGGAACGGCGCAACCAAGACTATTCCGAAATTATCAGAAAAATGACATTTGAGAAGCCCATCTCGGCTCTGCCTCAACAGGGCTCCAGTGTCTCCAACGTACTTGAGGATTCCGGACACTGGGGAATTTTTGACCATGAGTAAGGAAAACTATGTAATTTGGCTTTTTCCTCCATCTATAGTGAAAATGTATCTCTATATAAACTTATTTGAAAACGACAGTTACCTATATGATATCATGCTCCCAATCATATGTTATAAAAGAGCTAGT